CCATATTAGGGAGCAATATGATTCTGCAGCTCATTTGTCGAAAGGGCCCTTGATTATTGACCCATCACAGAAGGCATTGTTTGAAGAAAGCGTATTTTTTAATTTAAGGGCATTGGGTGCCTAGCTGTGTACAAATGTAACACATAAGTTTGTATGTATATAAATACACACTTTTGTTTTTAATAGATTTTTAATTGGGGATAATTTTGGATTCATAGGAAAGTCACAAAGGATAGCACAGAGAGTTCCCTCACACCCTTTTCCTAGTTTCCTCTGTTACAACATCTTACACAACCATGGTACACTTGTCAAAACTAAGAAATTAACATTGGTCTATTACTTTTAACTAAAGCCTTTTTTGGATTTTACCAGGTTTTCTATTCATGTCCTTTTTTTGTTCTAGGATCCAAGCCAGGATATCACACCGCATTAAGTCAGATGTAAGTATATATGGTTTAACTTTCTGTTTTAAAATAATCATTGATTTACATGAAATTGCAAAAAACAAAACAAAACAAAATGTACAGAGATCCCGTGTAGCCTTCACCCAGGGTTTCCCCCAGTGGTGACATCTTGTATAACTACACAATACCACCCAAACCATGACACTGATATTGGTACAATCCACAGAATGCATTAAATATATACGCACATGTATTTTTAAAATCAAATATATTTTTAAATCTCACTTTGCCTCACAGCCAAGATCAAATACTTTCCCAAAAAAACATAAAATTTGCATCCAACTCCACCTATCTCCAAACTCAAGTCCAACCATGAAATTCTCAGTCCCTTTCTCTAAACCTCCAACTACTGACTAGAATCTGCCTATACATTCCCCAAAGCAGAAATGCACTCTGCCACGGGTCTGGATACACTCAACTTGACCTTTAACTCCACAAATTCAAGGTGTACATGCATCTGTGTGTATTTAGCAACCCCTTTCTATCCCAGTCCATTCTAAGATCACTCCATCGGAGTCACCACCACCCCTCCTGTCTTTATTTTTAGAAGGATAAAGAACTAGACATATGTATCCAAGTACATTCTTCTACATCGGATATAAAGACAGAATACAGCCTACCTACTCAGAAGTACAGTAAATTACCACAAAGACATCAGTTTTATCTGAAGCAAAGACTGCTGTCTCTGTTTCCTTATTTATTATCCAGGAACTTGTACAGGTGACTTCATCTGTTTTCGTGCTGGTATACCTAAAAGCAAAGCTAGATAGAAAAAGAGGTTACTTGCAAATGATTTCACCTGAACTCAAATCAATAGGCTAGAAAGATCATAAACCAAGAGTGTGTCCCTTTAACTTAAAAATTCAGGACCCTGAATCAATTGCTGGTTGAGCAAAGGCAGACATTCTTTACTACTGCCTAAAACTGGGAAAAATGTAAAGACTTCAGCTCCGAGGCAGCCCCGAGTGCTGCCTGCGTCAGCACCCCCGCGAGGAACCCGAGCACTGGTCAGTCACTGCGCGGGCATTCCGGGCATTCCAGCGGCCCCACTTGAGCCCACGCCTGGCTCCATGGGGCTGGGCAGCTATGGGGAGCTTGTGGCCGAGTGGGCATGGGGTGTGGCCAGTCACTGTGTGTCACAAAGGGACCCTCTCTGTTTCAAGCCCTCTGCGCTCCAGTCTATTTGAAGAAACACAGAACGATTTCCATGGGATGGGATTTGCTAGAGGAAGCCCGGCTCCTTGCTCCGCTCTCCAGCACTGAGAGAAAGCGGGGACTGGTTGAGACCAGAGGAGGGACCTATCAAGGTTGAGGATAGACTTGGAATCCCAGAAAACCTTTCCAGAGGCCTTCTTTCGGAGTGGTCAGATGGAAACAGGCTCCTCTTTCCTCCAGCACTAGGAGTGCCCATGACAGGCATGGGGAGCACGATGGGGCCTCGGCAGGTGCAGGGAGGTGCCCTGGGCAGTGGCTCGAGGGGGAGGGGGATCATGCTGAGCCCGGGGGTCTCAGAGGTGCTGTCCTTGGCCTGTGTCAAAGGTCCTGGAGGCCCCCCACCTTCGGTGCCACATGACCCTGGATGCTTGTCTTCATCAGTGAGGTATGAGGAGTAAGACACTGACCCTTGGCTTCACCTCCTGGGCTTGGATGAATTTCTGTAAGCACTAGATTGAAGAACAATGGACAAAACCTGTGAGACAGAGAACTGGGGCACTCGTGGCTCAATGTCCGGGCACATCAACATTAGCGAGAAAAAGGCAAGGGCCTAAGGTTGGTTTATCGAGCTCTGTCCAAGTGCAGGGCCCACTGATGGGTTGTCTCAGGCTTACTGGACACCGTGGCTGTGCCGTGTGGTCCAAGACCTGAAGAAGCCACAACTGCGTCTTCCCTCTCCATCCTCTGGTGGCTAGGGTCCAGTTCCTGTTGCCATGGCAATCCAGCTGACCCCACAGTACACTGGACCCAAAACTGGCTTCTGTAGGTGGGGCCAGTGGCACCCAAAGAACTTGACTCTTCTCAGCTGAGGAACCTTTCTCATCGCCACTGGAGCAGAAACCACCACCGGCTTCTCACTGCCGTCAACCTCCTGGGCCTGGCTTTAGCTGAAAAGAATTCTCCCCAAGGCAGACACATCTCCCAAAGCCCACACAGGCACTTACGATGATTGCCCTTGAAATCTGTCTCACAGGGGGAGGGGTGTTCACCTCCAGGTCACTCTGCAAAGCAGAGTAGCCTGGCCCATGTCTAAGGACATGAGCCAGAAATTAGGAGGACAGAGTCTCAAGCCAGACTGCCTGGGTTCGAAACCTGGCCCCCTCTCTATGAACTGCATCCACAGGTGCTTTTTCTCTTTGCAGTTGGTTCCTCCTCTGTACGACAGGGATGACAACACTCTCTCATGATATAATACTTTTAGAATGCTTAGGACAGGGCTTCGTACCCAGTAAATGCTCTGTAAATGCCAGCTGCTCTTATCCCTATGTGACAACTCCCAGCCAGAAGCTGCCCACACCCCAGCCCCCGCGCCCTCTCCCTCCAACGCTCCCGAGCAGGCTGCCCGCCTCCCCCCGGCCCTCACCGGCCACCATGGAGGAGCTCAGCTTCCAGCGTCCCGGCGTCTCTCGCTGCTCCGGGCATCGCTCGCCTTTTTCTTCCCTCTGGGGCCCAACAACGTGTAGCACTTCTAGGGCAGTATACTTGCTGATTGCTTCCTTCACTATTAGTCACAACAACCAGCTAAGACACTGCCAAAGAAACACTCACAGCTGGCCTGTCCACAGCATCCGCCTCTCCCCGGGGACCTGCTGATAGGAAGGAAATGGCAGGAAGAAAGGATGGAGCAGAAAGCTGAGGCCACCAGCAGACCCCAAAGGGCAGGCCCTCACTAGTAGACAAAGAGGAAAAAAAGCACTTCCCTAGGTGAGGAAAAGTCAGAAAAGGCCAGCATGTCAGTGGCACGTCTGCAGGAAAGCAACGGAATGAAGTGGTGCCACTCCTGCCCCGGGCACCGCGTGGAGAGTGGGTCGGTCAGAGCCCGGCCAGAGACTCAGAACCACACGGAGAGGCAGATTAAGAAACGCATCGCAAGGAACTGGCGACGTGACTGGGGGGGCTGGCTGGGCAAGTTGAAAGTCGCAGGGCAGACCAGCGGGCTGGGGCTCACCTGCAGGATTTCCCCTTCCTCAGGGAAACCTCAGTTTTGCTCTCAAGGCCTTTCAGCTGGTTGGATGAGGCCCGCCCACGTTACAGACGATAACATCTTTTACTTAAAGTCAGTGTAGATGTTGACCACATCTACAAAATGCCTTCACAGCAGCACCTAGATTAGAGTTTGCTTGAATCACTGGGTACTGTGGCCTGGCCAAGTTGACACAGAAAACTGACCAGCACAGAGGGGTTGCTTTACCAGCTAGTGCCTAGCTGTTTTGGGTGCAGACCACCAACAGGGCAGTTCCTCTTCTGTGGGGGTGTGGGGGCATGGAGGGGCATTCACTTGGGTCAGGGTGACCTCTGCCCCAGTGTGGGAGGTCCCAGAAATCCAAGTTCCAGGGAGAGTAGTGCAGATAAAAGCACGCCCATGAAACAGCACCCTTTCTGCCCGAGAGGTGAAAGCCTCTCTAAGACCTCCACACACATTCAGCAGGAGACAGGACACAGAGGTTGTCCTGTCCTGGCTACAACGAGGTGTCCGGTGGGAGTTGACAGGAGTTTGCACTTACCTTAGTCCTCACTCTCAGACAGGTAAACCCATAATACTCTGGTTAAAAAGCAAGCCAGGGGCTGACTGGTTTGCTCAGTTGGTTAGAGCACAGTGTTATAACATCAAGGACAAGGGTTCAGATCCCCAAACAGGCCAACTGCCCCCCCCCAAAAAAAAACCAAGCTGAACTTTAATACTATCTTTTAGCAGGGGAAAAATGTCCCTAATTCATCAAATTATATCCCAAATGTAAGTCCCATCAGAGCATGTTTATCAGCTTAGACCAGCATTTCTCAGCTTCAGTGTAAGAATCATCTGGGGAGCTTGGTGAAAATGCAGATTCCCAACTCCTTTCCCAGAGGTTTGATTTGGTAGGCATGGGACAGGGCCCAAGGCACAATCTGCAGTAACCATGTCTTCCAATAAGCACAGGGACAAGTGAGAACCCGTGCCTAGGCATGGCCCAAGGCACAATCTGCAGTAACCATGTCTTCCAATAAGCACAGGGACAAGTGAGAACCCAAATAAAGTTTCTCCCAGCTGAGATTGGACCAGGTGAGGGCCCCAGCATGCTGCAGGCAGACAGCTGTGCAGACACATGGCAAGAGTGGCGCACTTGGACTTCATGAGCACAGCAGGTGCATTTGGGATGGGCTGGCCCATGCAGAGACAGGGTATGGGAGGCGGAATGTGGGCTCCTGACCATGCACCAGCTTGACCCAGCACCTGACACTGCTGCAGAGAACAAAGGTCGGGTGGGGACAGTGGAAGGGCCCGTGTCTCTCAGGGATGGGCACCTTCTACACCCTGGCAGAGGTCTCCAGCAAGCACTAACGCCATGGAGGAAAACTGCCAAGTCCTCAATCCAGCCCACTCCTCAGGCTCAGAAACAGTTCCAGAGGAAAAGATGGGGCCTCGGGGACATCCAAGCCAAACCACATGCACCTTCTACCACTAAGCAGCCCCACAAAAGCAGCCCCTGCCCCCAATTTCTAAACAGAACCCCATTTTTGGAACCTAGGCAGCAACCTACATGAAGGTGTCTGCCCATGAAGGCTGCCACCCCAGGTAGCAGGTGGTCAGTGGGAGTGTCCTTCCTCTTCCTCCTGAGTCCAGGGCCTTTAGATGGAGAGGACAATCTTCCCAGTTAGCGAGAGGAGGCCTGACTCCAGGGACAACCTTCTCAGTCAGAGGGAGAAGGCCAGGATTTTATGCAAGGGTAAATCGGTGTCCTTCCTCTTCCTCCTGAGTCCAGGGCCTTTAGATGGAGAGGACAATCTTCCCAGTTAGCGAGAGGAGGCCTGGACTCCAGGGACAACCTTCTCAGTCAGAGGGAGAAGGCCAGGATTTTATGCAAGGGTAAATCAGTCAATGCAAGACATTTGATGGTGTTGCATGAAACACAAAACACACCACATCAGGAGTCTTCAGCCAAGTCAGAGCCAAGGCAGAAAAGTCACACCCTGAGGTCACAGTGAATGTATTCAGATTTAAATATATGTTCCTTTCTACAGAAAGGCCTTTGGTCTAATGACCAGGCCAAGCTTCTGCTGTGTTAACCTACGATGTTAAAAACCTGGGGCTCAGTTTGGAGCTCTGGCTTTGCTCCCTTCACTTCTCCTTTCAGGGGCCCTTCAATGTGTCTTGCTGCTGAACTAGCGCTGCTGGTCCAGGGAACCAGGAGGAATTTGAGAAAAACAGAAGCCATCTTTGCCAGGGGGGTGTTAAGCTCCTCTAGCACTAAAGAAAAAATTGACTCTGGTAATGACGCTCTTGGATGTTATGATTTCAGAGAAAGCAGGCACCCTCTATACCCACTGAGATGTGGGAATTCACTCAGGAAACCTCCCCAGTCCCCCAGCACATCTCTCAGAAAGCACGAACATGTCCCTTCCTGCAGCCAACACACATCAACAAGTGCCTCTGCTGTGCAGGCACAGGGCTGGGTGTCCCAACTCGATGGGGAGGACAGGCAGACGGCCTGGGCCCCAATGTCCACAGGGAGGGACACTGATAAGAAATCACCTATGTGCAAAATTACAGCCATGAGCAGTGCTGCGAAGTTGGTCAGGGTGACACCCCTGTGGCCTCATCAAGGAGGTCAGGAGAGGGGACAGGGGCCATGACACGGAGGGCTGGGGAGGAAGGACCTGCACAAAGGGAGGGTGCAGGACAGGCTCAAGTTGCAAGGAGGCCACGGCCACGAGCACGGAGGGGACAGGGTGGGGTTGGGTAGGTGCGTGGGCCTTGCAGGCCTCAGCAGAGAACCTGCCTGTGCTCTAGAAGTGATGGAACCAGATACGTGATTAGATCCCGAGAATCTTGCACATCGCATCAGAGTAGCTACCCTTGGCCGTCACCCAGACCTGAAAGGCGCAGCCCAGTTGACACAATCTGTATGAAAGAAAACCCAAAACTTGACATTCCTCTGATCCAAACACAATATGCCTGTCTGAGCACAGACAAAGAGATTGCTTGAATGTCCTCTGATGAGATTAAAGACCAGCACAGCTAAGGTAGGGAAGAGAAGCCACTTTCATGAAAGAAACCAGATAGGACTGGGCTGTAATCTTTTCATTTAAAAGTATCTCCACATAGGGCTGGCTGGTTAGCTCACTCAGGACAGCGTGGTGCTGGTAGCACCAAGATCACAGGTTCGGATCCCCTTACCAGCCAGCTGCCCTCAAAATAAAAATAAAAAGTATCTCCAGATAGTCCTCTCTCACTCTGCAGGGAAATTCAGTCATTTCATCTAACCCCCTTGGGAACACCGGAATAGTGCTAGAAGGGCTCATCCTGGGGGAAGAAGGACCGTGCACAAGGACAGTCTTGAGGTTTTGCAACACACACTCGCCCCGCCAGGCTCAGAAAGGAATCCGCAGGTGTTCAACCCCAGCCGAGAGTCCTCCTGCGCTTCACAAGGACGTTGAAAGCTTGAGGGAATTCTTCTGCCCTTGCTTCTGTCTCATCTGGAAAACCAGGTCAAGTGGCAGGAAGATGACAGTGGCGAGGGGCTTAAGGGACCCTGTCCAGATGAGGGGCTGACTTCGGTCCAGGTTGGAGCCGGGGCAGAGAAAAGCCTGCTTTGAGAGTGATTCACAAAAGACTGACTTGGAACAAGCTTTCCCGGTGGCGGCCCCCCCGCTTGTTTCCAGAACTAGCTGTGCCTGTCCAGGAGAAAAGAGACGATGCCAGCAAGTCCCTAGTAGGTGATGTTGGCACATGGCTGTCCCTCTGCTGATCCCCGCAGTGTCTCTGGGTCCGGCTGACTCTTTGGGGCTGCCAGCCAGAAGCCTGTTACCTCTGCCCTTTGTAGAGCCAGGAGACTCATTCACTAACACCTCTTAATACTTAGGACTCTGTTTTACTTTTCTAGTTCTTAGGGATGCAGCCTTAAGCAGCCAACTCTGAGAATCAGCACGTTCATCCAAAAAAAAAAAAAAAAAGGAAAAAAAGCTCAAATGTCTGAAAACCAGTAGTCCAGATGGTTACTGGAAGAGAGGTCTCCCTGGGCAGTAAAGGGTTAAGGGTAGATACAAGGATTGTCTAGAACTACCCTTGTATTAAGCATTTCATAAAAGAATACATGTATTTGAAGAGCAAGAGTTACTGTATTACCCCAAATCAGTTAGAAATCTGAATAAATTTAAATTTTCTGATGTAGCAAATGCTGTTGGTTGTCTGCCCTGAACCCACGCCCCTCTTCTCTGCTCACAGACCCTCACTGGGTTCAGGTAACCCACCCACTTGCCCCTAGTCACATGCCTCATGAAGCCCATGAGGTCACCCCCTCCCTTGCCACTGATTGGTTTGGGGCTGGGCACGGGACACAATTCTGGCCAATGAGATGTGTGGGAAAGCTGGGCGGGGCCTCTGGGAAAGGTTTCCCATTCATAAGGTGAGACCCTGGGAAAAGCCAGAGAGAGAGGAGCTGGCAGGACATGAAGCCAGTGGGTTGAAGATGGCAGAGCAGAGCACAGAGAAAACCCAACTCCCGACATCACGGAGTCACCGGC